CAACATGAAAAAACCAATAAAAATCTATTTAAATTACACAAGCTTTTCTCTCATTCATATCAGTTTAACATATATACATTCTATTTTGCGAGTGTATTTTGCGAATGTTATAACAACAGTCTTCGTTCATGAATTATTTTTATTCACATTCAGTTTAAAGTTTTCGATTCAATCCATAAGATGTGTTCGGTTAACAAGAAAGTTTTTTTCGTTATTTTTGCGGTGTATGTTTCATCATACTCGCAAGTTGAAACTGTAAAATTTACACCTATAAGAACATCAGATGCCCGAATAATCAGAATTCAGGCTCAAACATTAGCACAACGCGCGCAAACACGGCAATTGCAACAATTTCTTTCAAAACCACGTCAACGACCACCTCATTCACCACACTCCTCAATTAATTCAGTTAATTCGGTTAATTCAGTGGCAAGTGTAAATCCAAATGTGCAAAGTTCAAATTCATTTTTAAACGGACTTCGTCCTAATTCAGAGACTTTCAGTGAATTACAAAGACAAACTGCAAATATGTTTAATAATGCAGGTCGAATAAACTTATTTCAATCGCGCAGATCTAATTTTATTCGTCGACTTCGTCCTAATCCAGAAAAAATGCGAAAAATTGGAAACGGATTAAAAAATTCTGCCATAGCACTTGGTGGTATTGGCGGTGCTATAAATATAGTAAATGAGTTTTCAAATAGCAATGAAAAAAGTAACAACGATGATTCGATTACAATGATAAATACAACTGAGGTGATGACGACAACCAAAGCCTCGGAATATCATAACAGTCTCGGTAACGTCTTATAAAAAAAAAAAAAATCTCAAAGTAAATTTCGAATCTAAGTATAAATAATATTTCAACAGAAAATAACATTGATATGATCCCAAATATACACTTGGAAACAGCATCGACAGTCAGATCAATTAGCTCTGATACGCAATTTTTTAATAGCTCGGATACGCACATTCAAAACAGAACAATAACAACAAAGTCAATGTCAGCGCCAGTGATTATAGAACGAAACTATACAGATATTTCATGCATGCCAACGACAACCGAAAAATTTAAAGCTAAAAATAATATATTACATAATGCTTATATTCAACGTACACCGACATCATCGATAAGACATTATTTGTATTCACGCACTCCATCGTTAAATGAAAAAAAAGAACAAACGACAGCACCCATGTCGATCCTCACACATGAAAATGATGTTAATAGGACATTGAAATATAATAAGCATATTTCACATACGACAACTGAAAAAAATCTGAATAAACAGTCCATGCGATCAACTGCTAAATTGAATATAATTAGAAGTAATGATACATATATTCAACGCGTGTCTACAACGACAGTAAGAAATTTTCTGTTGTCACGCGTCCCATCACCAAATTCAATGTCAACTCGACTAATTAAAAATAGTTCAAATTTGAGCGATCCAAATGTGAGGAAATCACAAACGAATATATATTCACACATTCCATCGGCATATGACATCACTAAAAATTCAATGTCAGCCCATCACATGAATAACACGCACATATCATCAATTAAAAAATCTAGCGATCCGAATATAGCCATGTATGAAAAAATCAGCAATAAATTGGCGGAGGTCGAATCGCCGAGCTATTTTTAAATTATTAGATATCATTTTTCCTCTATATAAAGCCGTCCACATACATCATAAAATTTAGTATCCCGTTAGATCTGTGCACTTCACATCATTTTAAAATCTATTTAACTCCAACCGTTTTTACATTTTTTCATCGTAATGGCAGTTTCATTTAAAAATCTGATTGTGTTTTTAATCATCTGCAGTGTATTTAAATCAATAATCCCCGGTAGAATTCCTCAGCAAATTAAACAAAATGTGAGCGATTTACATGAAAATTCAAATGAAATTCATCCAGCAAATGCAAGTGTTATTAAATATGAGAACCTTAACATTCGCGAAAAACGTGGTATAATTTCATTGTTACAAACCGTCGGTTCATTATTTTTTAATGACTCTAGTGATATCGAGCTTTCGAACGTAGAAAACATAACTGAAACTCATAATATCAACGACATTGAAAACGTTAAACGATCCAAACGATTTATCGATGTTTTGAATGTAGTGCTTTTTGGATTTCCACGTATCATAACCGATGTTATATATGCAAATGGCATTAGAAATTATATAAAAAATGTGAAAGAACTTGATAGTCAATTATTGAATAATTTAAAAGATGATATCGAATCTAAAAAACATAGATCAAAACGTTCAAATGCTCCCTTTTTCGCGTCTCTTGCACTTATGGAAATAGTTCACTATAGAAGAGAATTAGTTGACTTTTTTCTAGTAAATGATGATGATAAAACAGAAACATCAGCTTTAAAACAACAATTCATTCGTTCTCATCGGCAAGCTCCTCATTTTGTGACAAAATCATGTAAAACCAATGACATTGTAGAGGTCAAATCTCGGAAACGACGCAGTGTAATAGCTACCATGATGCCTGTAGTGGGACGATTAATTGGCTGGACTGCAGCTATGTCAATTGCAGGAGTAAGCGCAGTCGCAGCCGATATTCTAATTCGTGATGCCATCGCTCAAAAAAATGCAAAAGCTTTATCACGCATATCAATCGATTGTAATTTGAATCTCTATGGCTGTTTGAATGGATTCTGTTGGCATAACTGTGGGCCACGGTAAGTGATATTATAATTTGATATTTATTTATTAACAAAAACTAATCTTTTTCTTTTTAAATTATAGACTATCATCTGCCGATTGGTGCTTCAGCACAAAAAAAAATCTGACTGAGCATCCTGTTGTTATGACTCAATGTTCGAATGATTTGGATTGTTCTCCATGTGATGGATGCGCAACAACATGTTACATGGAAGGAGGGACTGTAAATGAAACGGGTCAATTGATGGTGTAAAAAAATTCAATTAATAATTTTCAATGATATTTTTCTATTGTTCTACTAACCATCAAATAATTATATTTTCATGTTATTTTGTAGTAAACATCAAATAATTATATTTTCCTGTTATTTTGTACTAAACATCAAATAATTATATTTTCCTGTTATTTTGTACTAAACATTAAATAATTATATTTTCCTGTTATTTTTTCTACTAACCATCAAAAAAATGTTAAAATTATAAAAAAAAGCTCTGATTTTCAGAGATCAAAAAATAAAAATAAAATTGTAAAATAAATCTGATTTTCAGAAACCAAAAAACCCTTTTTCATTTGGTTTACTCAAAGTTTATAAAGGTCAGTGTCTCAGTCAATGTAACATAACTCTTTCTCTGATTATCTCTTTCAGTTTCAATTTTTGAATTCAATTTCCATAACACTTACGTCCTCACCAGTTACATG